AGGAACTGCATCAACTTCAGCTTATCCTCCGCGTAGTCCACGAACCTCTCGGTGTGCGTTCTCCACACTCGTGCGTTTACACGTGACAATGTCATGGTTACTGTCTCCTTCCTTTCAAAATACGCCCGAATCTGGCGCCTAAAATCCTGCCACGACGCCACTGATTCCACTGACTGTCGATTATACCAGCCGATCGCGCGACCCGTCAACTGATTCACAGCCGCCAGGACCAAGACCTCATCGGGGATCTGATACATCCTAGCTATACTCGATATCCTCTCCAACCATGGAACAATGTTCTCGTCCTCTTTCCCGGAAAAAGTAGGAATCAATTTAGATGCGAACTTTACTTGATTCCAGTTATGGAACCCACTCGATCGAGACGTGGAACTGGGTGACGCCCCCGGCCGCGACTCCGGCCCCGACCACTCAGGCACCCCGCTCGGCCGACGCTCCTGCGATACATTCAGGGCCTGTAAAACAGCCCGCACAATATCCTGCATTTCTAAAGCACTTCCGGCATTAACGCTCCTTCCGGAATGCCTTCTCACTTCCGTCCCCTGCACTTGAGGTGGCTGCTCTGCAGTCGCATCCACGCCGGCTTCTTCCCGCGCAGTCTGAGGCTCCTGTTCCTCCCCCGCACGATCCTCAATAACGGGCGGTGTGACCGTAATGGTCTCTGGCCAACCCTGGCGCTCAAAATAATCCGTAATACGGTCAAACAATGCGGCGCGAGCACCGCGGATGTCCAAATCATGCTGACGAGCGACCTCTCTCAGCCCCTCAACGTTTAGCTGCTCCAATTGCACCCGACTCATAGCTCCGCCGAACGAATTTCTTCCCGATTACCTCACCGCCCGATGACACTCAGCTACTCTCCACCGACTTCGGTCGATCAACCGACAATAATTAAACGTCGCAAACAAGGTCACCGCGACCGGAGCCTGTTTGTGAAGCACCCGAATGCCAACAACAATGACTTGCTCCGCCGAACAAAGCGCCCCTGCGCTGATCACGTGAAGGGCACGCTTGTACCGCGTGCTCCGTTTTCCTATGCCCGTTCCTCCGGCGCAACTAACTTTCTCGAAGCCGCTCGAAAATTCTCAGCGACTTTCCCGTGGACACGCACTAACTGCGGAAAATCCTCGGAGTAGATGAGCACTAATCCCACTTCTGAGAAAATTCCCGCTGTAAGCTTATCAGCGGGAAGGACTTAGACAACTCACACGCACTCAGTAATAAATGAGCCAGACAGCGGATTCTGTATATAGGCAATAATGTATTTGATATAAAGTTTCGTCTCACAGAATCACTCTCAGCGAGAATATATACATATATCGCGGTCGGGCAACTCACACCCTTCGAGATACTCCGATTTACTTGTACGGTACGCTCACCGTCTTTCCTTCTCTTTTGCACGCTCGCTTCCGAAATTCCTGCCTTCTCTTCGCGACACAGAAACTCGACTGCCTCCCGTTCGGCCCGCTTCCCGCGCAACCCTCGCTCCCCTTCCCGTCTTACTCCGAAATTCGCGGAGTCACCTGCGATTCTCGCTCTATCTAGCGCCCTAATGGGTTTTATCCGCATCGCTAGATGGTGCGCCAGGCCGGATTCCCGTTAGGCGCTTACACTTTCCTTTTACTTTCGTACAAAGATAATAAATGGTCTTTATTTCTTTAAATTTATTTGTGTTTTTTTTTTATATAAGAGTAGAAAGTGTATGATTCATATCTCTTCTTCGCATCTACAGCTTACTGGCAGTAAGAAAGTAAGCGATTCCAATTTGTTGAAATGTTTCTTAACGCACCTTTCAAACTAGTCTCGGCTCGTACCGACGCGATCATACTAGTCGCGCGGAACGGAGCGCGCGCGATCGCGTCGCGAAAAATCGCCGATAACGTTAAAATTATTACGCGGCGATGCGGCGCGAGGGCGACCGATAAACTCTCCTCGCCACGCGTCTTACTGAGAAACGAGCGGGTATCGAGAGCGATGAAATTTAACGCACCAGCGTTCGCACTTAGCGGCCTAATGCGAATTCCGCGCCGATAAGGTCTGATTTACGCCGGCTCTCGCCGGACCGCGCCGCCGTCCCGTCGGAACCTTCCGTTTTGCCGCCGATCACTGAAAACAACACTATACACACGGGATTTCCGCGTGCGACGTAGGCAAGCCGTGCACGCGCGTGAATCAAGCGGGAGAGGGCAGTACGTCGGTAAATCACGCAGTGAAAGCCGCTTAGTTTCGGCGCCAGATACATCTCTCGTGCGGTGTTTATACCGCTAATGAGACACTTGGTTGACAGGCAAGAAGGCCCCCCCGGTTTTCCTTATCGCGCATCATAAACGTCCGTCCCGTCGTCATGGTCAAACGACACGGCCTGTGCGTTCTCTCTCGTATAGTCGCCTTCGCACCGATTGGTCTTAGACCGTTGACAGTGTGGCATTGAACGCTCGATGAAATTTCGCGATACCGAGCTTTCCCCTCGTTGCACGGTTTCCACCTTAGTTTTAAAAAAATTTTTTGAAGATATGAAGAGTGAGTCAATGAGAAAGTAGATGCGTGAAATTAAAATATTTTTTTTATTCGTAGACTTTTTTTCAATGGCTCGAGTTAGTGAGTAGAGACTGACTCATGAATTCAAGCGTCGTTGCCGAACATTTTTCGCGTGTTTTCAAAAAGCTTCAGCTTATTGTCGATTACGTAAACAGCCATGGAAGTCAGGGCTTTGGTTATTGCCATCATAGTGGTTCTATTTGCATCATAAAGAACATGGGGCGTAGTGAAGGTAGTTTACAATTTTTTCCCTCTATAAGTCTTAGATTTTTCTATGATCAAGCGATTTAATTTGAAATATTCTAGCACCTTCACGTACGTGTAACATTGCTAACAAGAACTGACACTAATCGTAAGTAGTATTTCATAATCTATTACGTGACACGCGAATATACCGTTGGATTAGAATGAAAATTTATTTCACGCTATCTATCAGAATGCAGTTCGATTTATTTCGTGTATTATTATTTGTTACACGCTCCCGGGAATATTTTTGGCGATAATGATAATAAGCTGTCCTTTCCGTAACTGGTAATACCTGGTGGTATCTGTGCCAGTTTCTGTTGTCCCACGTTCTTATATCGCAGAACATCATGCAACGCGAGTCATCGGCACGCGATACATGTCCGCTTTAGTAAGACGACAGAATTGATATATGTCAGGTTTATACAGAAGTTTTTATTACTAGATTTAAGATGTCTGTTATCCGACGAGTTCTAAATTAAAAGCTGTCAACCTCTGTGAATTTATAGCACCTAGCACCTCCACTAAAAACAAAAAATTGATTGCGTGTGCCATAATTAAGTACTCATTTATTTCTTACATGTACAAGAGTAAAGTACATTAAAGCAATTAATTTCTACGTTAATTTTGGCCTTAAAATGTTCCTAGAATTATTTGTTTTTAAAATATTCCAGTCAAAAAAAGTAAAAGCTCTGATGTATAAAATATTACATATATTACTGATAATTCAATTTGAATCTTTTTATAGACAAATTACCTATACGTAGTATGTAAAAAAATCAATTATAAGAAAGATCAAACTTGAAAAAATGAAGCAGAGGACATACAATAAAATGTCGAAATTTTTTACATTACGCGACCAATGTGTTAGTGTCTCTCTTTGCCTTGAGTTAATTAGTTTCACGTCGAATTGATGAAATCGTTGTCAAATAGTCTCGGCCGACTCCATTTGGTAAAGTTTCATTTCCTTGCGGAATGCAGATGCGCCCACGCGCGCATCTCGGTCTCGATAATGAAAATCGTGGACGGCCGAACGGGTGCGTTCCATTTGCTTTTAATTACGGACACGAAGCACGCTGTGTGCATTCAGTTGCCGCCCTTTATTTGCGCTATCCTACCGTCTAATTGCTTACACGACGAGCCACGTAGCCGCGGACCGACGTATGTATGTAGGCGTTATTGCAAGGTGCACTCGAGAGTCTCGCACCTTCGGCGATCTCCTCTCCTTCAAAGATGAGGAGATACGAGCCGTAAGACCCGATATTAAATTAAACGCGACTGTGTGCCGAGGTACAGTCTAGAAATGAACATCGCGATAGCGCTTTCAATATTGTTCGACCGTTAGCATTGTATATATTGATAGCGTTATTTATTTTACAATTTCTCACATTGTCAAAGTCTAAACGAATCATTTTTTACTAATCGATCTTTTGTTTGGGTGATCAGAATTATTACACAACTAGTTCCTTTTTTATTGGGAATCACGCAAAATTATCGCATGACTTAACCGTCATTAATGCAATTTGCGTCAGACTTTCTAGTGCCGATGTTGTAATATTTTGGCATGGAAAAATGCTTCAAGATGCAATCTCCAACATATTAACACATTCCGTGCAGAATACACATTAAACACGCTCCACACTCTCTTTCGCTTTGCGCGCGAAACGTTTTGACTCCGATTAAATTCCATCAGCATTCCTGCTCGTCAGCGTATGCTTTTCAGCAGAGAAAGGACAGTTACCAACTCGTCGTTTCAATTCTGAGTATATTCACATTGTGCAATTAACGAGAGTATCGTTTTCCTACATATTTATTCATCCCGCTTTCATGATCTGTCTACAAAAATTCTAATTAACTTAATTCATAGCTTCCGATTAATAACTGCAATTTTATCTTTAATCTTCTACCTTTTCTACCTCTGTCGTTTGAGAGCAATTTTTTTTCTGCGAAAAACGACGTGTGCGGAAGAGCTTAGCCTGACTTCATAGGTACCTGATGAAAATTATGATGTTTTAGCGCGAAAGCATCCACGCGATGATCAGACGCGAGATACGACATGATCCATTTGTCTGATTGCAGGGAAACGAGGCGGTGGTGCCTGAGGGCTGGCCTCTGACGTTAGGCGGCAGCGGCCTGATCCTGCAGCTGGGTGAGCTCGAGGCGTCCGCGCTGCGTCTCGGGGAATGTTACCTCTGCGTACGCAGCGCGGCTGCTGCGACTGCAACTGCAACCACCTCGTCGGTCAGCGGCGCTACGACCGCCGGTGAAGCCGTCGAGCAAAATACCGTTGAGGTGAGTCATGTTCCTTTTTATTTTTTTTCCTTCTCTCTCTCTCTCTCTCTCTGTCCTCTCCTCATCGTCACAAGGAAGCCGCACCGGTGATGTCCTCCGTGTACCGCCGCGAGAGAATGACACCTCCGTCTTAACGACCGTCGAAAAGACTCGGCCGGAATTCCCAGCGTTCTTGCCGCGTGATCGTACGACGGGTCCTCGGCATAAATATTAACAGTCATCGGATGCAGGCGCGTAATGGGACGCGCATTATTAGATGCGCGTTTAAGCTCCTTCGGGTAATAAAGGATGGATATATCTGAGAATGCCGACGCGGCCATTGTCACGCTTATAACGCTTTCCCGTATTCCCAGAAATGTGCCAAGCTAGCTGATTTATCATGACAATGAGTTATGCAGACCGGCTGAATTCATTCTTCAATGCACTTTCATATAGATATCGGATAAGAAATATGCATTACAATAAAGTGATAAACTTTTCTGTGATAAATTTTATAACGAAATCAAATTTTTCTTTCTTTTTAATTTTATAATATTTTTTTATTAACGTACATAATAATAATATTTTAGGTTGAGATATTATTTAAATAAAATCGGAAATTATTGAAATTAATTGTGAGCAAAAAATTAGATTCTTTTATTTATTAACAATCTTTTTAGAGCTTAATTAGCAAAAGGTATCAATGTTATTATTTTTTTTTTTACAGAAGAATTGTGATTTTAAATTAAAAACACTGTCGTTAATATTAAAATCGGAAATTCCTTGGCGTAATATTCTTAGCAGAACGGATATAAATCAAACGGACGGTAAGCGAGAGGGTTACGATCAAAACTGCTGCTGTTCGCAGATAGCAGTAGTCTGGCGGACCACGTCGATGAGGGCCCCGGGGATCTTGGGTTGGGACCGTGAAGACGAGTTTATGGACTGGCGGGACCTGACAAACAAGGGTCAGCCGAGCTCGTCGAATACGGCAAGCGCAAATCTCAGCGGAGCGCAGCCCTCGAACGTGATGAAAACCACCGGTCGTCCGCGGCGAAGATCGCGCGAGGACGTGCGTCCGAGGACGCGCGAGACCAACAGGACCAGCAGCGTCGAGCATCGTCGGGAGGAGGCCAGATCGATCGACAGGCTGGAACATCAGTTCTATCGCGAGAATCGCCCGATCGGCGAGTCCGATCGTACCGCCACAGTGATGAAGTCCAGGTCCGCGTCCAGTGTCGACGCTTGGAAGGAAGACCTCGACGGCGAGCTCGATCGCAGCTCGAGTCGGAGAGCGCGCTCCAAGAATTCCTCTAGTCCCACCGGCGGCGACGAGAGCCGCGCCAAAGTGAAGCGGTGCGCCAAGGTGGTCTCCCCCACAACAATGGAAAAATGGAAGGAGAGCAGCAGGTGCGAAATGCGCAGCAGGTCAATCGTGCCGGAAGATCTGAAGAGTCCCCTGCAATTCGAGGAAAGCGTTCTGCGGCGAGACAACGTCGCCGATGATTCGCTGAAGGATCTCGAGGACAGATTGCGGAACGCGGGCGGTCCGGACGACATTAGCGACGAGGATCTGCCGGCATACATAGGCAGTCTGCTCGTCACCGTCGAAAGAAAGATCGAGAGGGTCTCGCTGGACGATATGACGTTCCCCTGTCCGGCGTGCAGAAATATAGATACGGACGATCCGTTGTTGGGGTGCAGATGCGCCGGCGATGACTGCAGCTGCGGCGAGGATAACTGCGACTGTTCTTCCTCTGCGCCCGTCTCGCGAAAGGAACAATTCGCGAAGAGCTTCGAAGTGGCGGGAATCAAGCATATCGACAGTGACGACGAGGAGGAAGTACGAATGGGATTCGGTAAGTAATTAAAATCGATTTTTACTTTTATGTACTGCAGCAAGAATTTTTTTCTTACGCATGGAGCATAAATCTATTTTCAATATTTGTATATAGGGATCCACGGAAAGAACAATTTTGCTGAATCCAGATCTGAAAATAATTTTTGTTCAATAATCAAAATAATTTTGTGCGAAAGTCAAAGCGATTGCTAGAATATCAAAACGTTTTATAGCAATGCGCTTATCAGTTTTAACATTCCAACAAATTATTTTGATGATTCAACAAAAAATCATTTTCAGATCTGTTTTTAGCAAAATTTTTAGATCTTTCAACAAAATTGTTCTTTCTGTGGAGTAATTTAAATAATGTGCTGTTCTTTAATAATGATTTGAAAGTATTTCTTGCTAATAATTTTTGGTGAAAAAATTAAATTGTCTATGGCGCCTAAAATAGTGATAGATTTATTAGCGATTGTGGTCGACGAAGAATAGTCTTGTTTACAAGCGTAGAAATCGCGATGCGTTGAATTTCGCTTCCGGAATGACCGCCTATCGGAGGTATGCGATCTATGGAAACTCGCGAATGATTTCTGCCGAGCCGCGGCAGGCCAGCTGCTCTCGCTCGACGAACGCTTTTATGCAGGTACGCGTGATTTACCGGCGACTAAACTTGCGCGGCGCACCGAACTTGAAATTCTGGCTGAAGTGCCAGCGTAGGCGGTATACCTTGTAAAGTGGCTACTTCATGTCACGCCGGTTGTTGAAAAATCCCATACGCTATTCGTGCATCGAATCGGTACTTGTACTTCGTCCACGCTCGCGTGAAAGAGTTTCATCGGTGGGAGGGGGGAAGGAGGGGGGGAGGTGCACTGAGCACTCCAGTGCGTGTGAATAGAATCGCTGTACTTGTGACGTTATTCCGATGTGCACATGCTCGCACGAATGCGCGCCTTACAGGCCTTACAGCCCGAAGCTGCGACGAAGTTTACGACGGAAGTATTTCTTGCTAAACAAAATACTGAAAATCTATGAAGTGTATTTAGCATAGGCTTTCATGTTAATTCGTAACTTATTCCACAATAATTCTTATATAACTTAACATACGGGCATAATTAAGTTCCAAGGAAGAATATTGACTAGTTTAAAAAGCTTTAGTTCGAAGAAAGTTATTCTCTGACAAGTTATTACATTAGATTTAATCGATAAGTTGTGTGAAGGCTCCCCTCTCGAGGGACTAACTTCACGCACGTATGTCTTTTTTTCATATTACTATTATTAATCATATTTACTACTTCGATTATCAATCATCGAGAAAACTACCAAATACTATCAAACGACCACCAATCGAGTAATAATGATCGTTTTTTAATTTTTAGTAGTGGGGG